AGCCTTCGATGTGCTTCAGACTACCTCCAAATGACAGATGATTATGGAGAAGAAAACCTAATCACACAAACAGAGACCTTCCTACAACAAGTGTTCACCACCTGGTCAGACACCATGGATGCTCTCGAAAGCTGTGAAGAAGTTCTTTCAGATGCAGAAGACCTCAACCTCATCTCACGCTGCATAGATTCTTTAGCTATAAAAGCTTGTTCAGGTCAGAACCCATACAACCCCCCTCCCACTGCCACGTCACCAGTCAATAACATCACACAAACCTCTATAATCTGGAATGGAGTTCCCACCTCAAATAAACCACATACATTCGGTGATGACTGGTGGTATAAAGATGTCTCCTTTCTTGGTTTACATTTATACAAACGACTGATTCAAACCATGGAGTCTCAAGGCATGAAAGCTGAAACAATAGCGGGTTCTCTTGTGGGGTATGCGAAGAAATACATTCCATTAATGAACAGACAATCAAGTTTCAACGATGCAAGCCATTCAAAACCAGTTTCTGCTCCTTCAGCAGCCGATCAAAGGGCATTATTGGAAGAAATTGTTGAGTTGCTTCCGAACAGAAAACGGATTGTTGGCACTAAGTTTCTTATCAGACTCCTTCGCACTGCTTTGGTGTTACACGTGTCTCCATCTTGTAGGGAAAATCTTGAGAAACGGGTCGGAGCCCAGTTGGATTCAGCTGTTTTAGATGATATATTGATACCGAATCAAGGGTTTAACTCTGTTGATACTCTGTATGACATCGATTGTTTTCAAAGGATTCTTGATTACTTCATGTCCATGGCCATGGATACAACTAGCACACAGTGTTCTCCGTGTATAATCGAAGAAGGGTTAGAAGATGTTCCACAGTCTTTGACTTCGTTGACATCTGTAGCCAATCTTGTTGACTCGTTTCTTTCTGACGTGGCGGCTGACGTTAACATGAAGCTATCAAAGTTCCAATCGCTCGCGGTTGCTGTTCCAGATTACGCCCGCCCTCAATCCGATGGGATTTATCGCGCATTGGATATCTTTTTAAAGGTATGAATTCGAAAATTAGGTTAAGTTTTTGAATTAGGGTTTGTTTAATTGTTTGGAAGAGGAACGTTATTATTATTGTTACAGGCGCATCCATGGCTGACGGACTGTGAGCGAGAGCAGATCTGCAGACTGATGAACATTCAGAAACTGTCGTTGGATGCGAGTACTCATGCAGCTCAGAATGAGAGGCTTCCTCTTCGTGTTATTGTTCAGGTTCTGTTTTTTGAACAGTTACGGCTGCGGACGTCGATCGCCGGGTGGTTTTTTGTATCGGAAAACCTTGAGAACTCGCAGTCGCAGGATCAAATGAATAGTACCAAAAACGATGGTGAAGTTGTTAGATCGCAGGGGATCGGAGAGATGAGGGAGCGTGTTGTTGAGCTTGAAAGGGAGTGTGAGAATATGAAGTATGAAATGAGGAAAATGGTGAAGAAGAAGAGAAGTTGGAATTTTTTTTGCAAGCGAAGAAGACATCGACGTATGTAGGGTTTTTTTTTTTTTCTTCTTCTTCTTTCTTCTTCTAGTGTCGTGGTATTTGATACGTGAGTTTTAATTAGTTTACGTATGTTAATACAATACGTTTTTTTTTTTTTTTTATCACGTAACATAGACAAACTCATAAATATATCAAGAATTAAAATCATGGGTAAATTACACCGATCGTTCCATACAGGTATCAATACACGTTTAATTTTTATTTTCAAAAATTAACTTTTTTCCTTATATCCTAAAAAGGTGTTTCCGTCGTTGTTAGTTTACATTTGCATGTTGATCCTTTACTAAATATAAAATTACTATGTTGCTCTCATTATTTTCTTTTTAATATAATTATAATTTATTTTAGAACAAATTACGTGAATGGTACTTTAGGTTTTGGATTTTTCCCTAATATAGTCCCTACGGAACTTTTTTTCCCCTCTAATAGTATCTACGAACCATAAGTTGCACGCGTTTGGTCCCCGAGTTGGATGTCCGTCCATTCCAATGTTAAGCTGATCCCATGTGACTTGCACATGAGGGTATTTATGTCATTTTACCTTAAAGGATCGTTTCTGAACATATAAATTAACGCCTATATCACTTCTTCTTGTTCTTCCTCCCAATTCAATCGATCACTACTACTGTTAGAGAAAAAAAGCTGAGGAAAATGCTGATATGTGCTTGTGGAAATCGTGATCTAGCCATCGCCACATCCTGGTTAGATCGCAACCCTGGAAGGCGATTTTTGACTTGTCTTCGTAATGAGAGAAGGTGTGGTTGGATTGGGTGGTTTGATGAGCACATGTGCCCTAGATCGGTGGAAGTGATACCTGGGTTAATCAGGTCTATGGACAAGCTCCAATAATCTCTTCAACAAGCTACAATGCAAGCTAGGATGTATAATTTAATCATTTTCTTCAGTTGGGGTCTTTTTGCAATTTGTTACTTGAAGCATGGTTGAAGTTGCGTCTGAATGTGGTGTCTGAATGCAGGAAGTAGTGTCGTGGTCATAGGGTTAATGTACTGGTGGTCTTTTTGAGTCTGAAGACAGGAAATTGTAGCATGATTTATGTAGTGTTTGTGTTTGTTTTGAGTTTGACTGCAGGAAATTATGTTCTGGTTAATGTTGTCTTAATGTTATAGTCTTTGTGTAATCAAATGGTTTAATGGTTTAATTTAAGAACAAGGTTATTGTGTCATGGCTTTGTGTAATCAAATATTATTTGACAAGAACACCAATTCAACATGCATGACCATACACTTTAAATATCACAAATACAACTTGACAAGAGCAACATTATAACAAAAATGCTATTGTATGTCACAACAATAGTTGACATTGTTTCATAGTTTACCTATGTGTACAATGATTCAAGGTCAACATGCATGACCATACAAAATAAGGAGCCCAAAGTAAGTATTGTTTGGTACATAAACACAGGTGTTAACATAACCATAAAAGTAAAGTGCAAATTACATCAAAAGATCTAATGGTTCTCAACAAAACCCCCATAATCACTTCTATCCTCCTGCTTCTTCAGTTCTTTTGTCATTAGGGCCACCTTGACCTTTGCAAGTTCTTGAATTATGCCCTTTGTTGTTGCACTTTCCACATGTGACAATGGTCCACTTCTTGGATAGTTTATGCCCCTGTGTAGCAGGTTCATCATATGCCCTCTTCTTTTTCTTCTTGGGCCTACCCACCTACAAATGTACATAAGATTAAATTGTTGTTCTTCAGAAACTGTAGTTATATTGATATATGAAAACATACATGAACAACATGTTTGGGTGGAAGCAACTTGGTTGGGCATTGTGATTTGGGCCACATTAATCTACCATTTATAGGTTCAATTTTGTGTTTGTACACTTCTACCCATGTAACTAGCCAGTAGCATGGGTGAACCCAATTCTCCAACTCGAGAACATTCTTTGCTCCATGTTTAATCTTGTCCCATATTGCACTTATTGCATGTGAGCATAACATGTTTGTAATTTCCCAATGTCTACATGTGCATGTTTTTTCATCCAAATTCACAATAAACCGATCACCCCAATGAGTAGTGACTTGAGTTTTAACCCCATTGAAAATACATTTGTGATTTTGTACTTGTATTTTCATTTGCTCAAGAAGACTAGTGGCAGTTGGTGTGAGAGGACCATGACATCTATCAATCTCTCTTTGGACATTGCAAATTCTCTTCATCAAATACTCTCTAATATACTCTAAACAATAAATGGTAGGTTTATCCCTACCACATTGTATTTTTCCATTCAGTACCTCACATAGGTTATTCAACAAGATGTTAGTATGTGCCCTCCCTGTTTAGTCATATAATACAAAATGAGAATAAATCCTACCAATGACAAGTAAATGTTAACATAATTGAAAGATGAAGTGCTAACCTGAGAAATGAGATCTTGCCCAATGAGCTGGAGGAATCTGTATTAGCCAATCATGAGCTTCAGCTTTGAATTTCTTTAGATCTTCTAATGCTTTCTCAAAATGCCTTACAGTAGTAGCAGTTGCACATGCCCACGCCCAATCTTTGAGCTCTTTATCCGTCCACTGTCTTTTCATATTTTAAAAAAATATGCTTTAAACAGAACCTATGCTCAGCTTAAGGGAAAAGTTTGGCAATTGTAGGAATGATACCCTATTTAAATATATCAGTACTTAGTTGACTAAATAACGACAATAACAAATTAAATTGAAGTAAATGTACCTTCTGCCCATTTGAGATGAAAGTGAAGTTTGAATTAGCATAAAGTTCCAGATCATCACCAAGTTGTTCCAAAAACCATGTCCATGAATTTGTGGTTTCATGAAAGTACCATCCAACCCTATGAAATCCCTTAGATTAGCCTTAAATCCTTCCTTTAATGCTCCTAAACAAATGTAAATTCTCCTAAACGTCCTTGTATCAAAATTTAAATTTGGCTCAATATGACAATCAATCTTCACATTAGTACCTGGGTTTCGTTCCATCAACTCTAGTCCATAGTCCCTCAATATAGCATATTGTTTATGAAAATCCCCAAAAACATGCTTCTAAGCCAATGCCTTTGCCCGATGTACCTTCATTCTTGACATGTTCATCTCAAATTTTTGGATGAGATCTTCTTGAAGTGCATTGACTGGAATGGTTGGATTACTCTCAATTTGCTTCACAGTGTTTGTTGCAATGTATTTGTAGTTGCAAGCTTTAATGGTTCTTGATTGCAAACACCGATGTTCACTAACTAGGGTGTTTACCACCGAGTCATCTGTCTCTTTAGGTCTAGACACTAGTACAACCGAAGGACATTTACCCTCTTTCATATTTACTGTTTTGTACTTGAATTCAGTCCTTGACTTTCTCTATGGCCCACCACTCATATCTGGGACCACTCTTCTACACTTAGCCCTAATCCTTGTTTTGTCATTTTTTTTCAAAATGTAAATCCCTTTTGGTTTCTACTGCATGTTTGTTTATCTATTCTTTCACATTTTTCTTTGTTTTGAACTTATGTCCTAATGTGAAAGCCTTTGGATGAACTACACCCTCTAAACAACTTTTTGCATTTCTTATGTCCCTCAACATCTTCTCTCTGTTGTTATCTTCACCTACAATAGGTGACTCAAATGATTCTGGGCCTATGACCTCCAAATCTTCACCTTCAGTAAAGTCAACACCACTACCACGTGCTTCTTTGGTCATTTTTTGAACTCGCTCAACATCCTCATCAACATGTATATGAAATTCTTTCATATCAACATCCACGTCATCTACAATATTTTCTAAATCCACAAAGAAGTCTTCATCCTTACTCTCATCATCTGTCATATTACCCTCACTCCTACTACACTCATTCCAAGGACCCTCACTAACACTTTCCTTACTTCCACTGTATTCATCCTCACGAAACTCAACATCATGTAGATTTTTTCCCCACCATATTCTACATCTACATCCCCCATTACCTCATAATCATCCACTAGATCAACATCCCCTTTTGGTTGGTGATCATCCCCTGTGTCAACAACTTTTTTACCATGTTTATCCTCAAACACTACCCCATAAAGGGATCACTCTCTCGATCAACTGATTGTTTTTTTTGTTGATCACAGGTTCATAGGGTACAATCAACTTTGAAAAATCAGTGGGCTCATTCAAATCCAACTTTTTACTACATGAACCAACTGATTTCCTTTTCATTCTAACCCTATTCATTTCAAGAGAATGATCCCCTTCATCTTCCTCAATATGAACCTTAAATGGGGACTTAAATTAAGGGACTACTCTAGGATTCCCATGCTCAATGTATAAATTAATTTCCTTATGATTAGGCACATACCTTGCCAGTTGAATGACTTCCTGATCGGTGCCAAGGGGTAACAATCCACACTCCAAGTCTGTCTCTGGGATCATGAAATGGTAAAACATTATACCTCCATCATTGTACCCTAAAACTACCATCATATCATCTAACTCGTGGACTGAAAACACATCCATGTCCACAAAATCAAAGTGATCCACAAGCCCATCTATGTATGACCTTCCAGATACCGTATTTGTGAACGAACCCCATGATATATCTTGAATGTGCAAAAGCTTGAAATAGAACCTGCTGTGAAAATTCAAGAACAATAAAATGTTAATGATGGAGGAAAGCAAAATTACATTTCGTCAAAACCTAGCATCACAAGGTCTGTGCTTACTATATTCTTTACGTAGGTCAGGTGGTTGGGTGTCGCGTGGACGTAAAGACCACAATGTGAGCACCATTTTCCTCGATACATCCTTCAATCAATTGAACTATTTTTTCAGACGACGATAAGAACTCACGATTGAAGAAGATGGGATGATCAAAAGGTTTTCTTGGGGAAAGAGATAAAGTGTAAAGTCAATGTCTGAAACTAAACCCCGCCACCTTAATAGATATAGCTATTAATTTATATGTTTAGAAAAGGTCCTTTACGGTAAAATGACATAATTACCCTCATCTGCAAGTCACATGGGGTAGCTTAATGTTGGAATGGACGGCCATCCAACTCGGGGACGAAACGCATGTAACTTATGGTCCGTAGGTACTATCTGAGGGAAAAAAGGACCGTGGGGACAACATTAGGGAAAAATCCAAAACCTAAAGGACCATTCACATAATTTGTTCTTTATTTTATATTGTCCAGCTACCAAAAAACTTAATAACTCCACCACTACATTACCACCACCACCATAGAGGTGGTCAGAAGTCCGTTGACGTTGTCGTGTTTTCTGGTGCGATAGAACTAGGGCCAACAACAGTTTGTCGGAGTTGAGAGAAAAGATGAAAAGAGTGTGTGACAGTTTGATGGTGTTGTCAGGAGTATCTTGGAGTGGTGGATTTCAGTGGAGCGGCAGTGATAAGTGGTAGGTGGTGGTTGGGTGTAGGTTTTAGATATACAAAAGAATATATATAGATGGTTAATTGATAGTCTAAAAGGGGTGGGCCCAAATAATTTATTATATAACTTTTAAGGGTAATTACACGAATGGTCCTTATGGTTTAGATAATTTGCATGTTTGGTTCCTAACTTGTTTTTGTAACTCGGAAGGTCCCTACTGTTTGTTTCTTTTACGCGTTTGGTCCCTTTCTTACCTAAAAAACTATTTTTCCCTTGATTTTTCAATTTATTTAAATAAACACACCCCTAGTCCCACCCCACCCCTCACCTTACCTTACCTACTTCACCATTTTTCCCTAATTAAATAATAGTCTTTTTAGGTAAGACATGAACCAAGCATGTAACAAAAACAAATACTAGGGACTTTCCGAGTTAAAAAAAATAAGTTAGGGACCAAGCGTGCAAATTACCCCAAACCATAGAGACCATTCATGTAATTTACTCAATTTTTAATAGATTAATAAGAAATACATAATAAATAAATGAAAACCAGAAAATGATAAGCTAAAACAATCTTTTTATGACATCAGGGACGAAGCATGCAACTTTTTACGATATAAGGGACGGTTTGAGTTAATTTTTGAAAATATGGATCAAATGTGCATTTTGGTACATGTACGAGGGATGATTGGTGTAATTTACCCTAAAATCATATTGAACAAAGAGTTGGTTGCAACCAATATATGTAGTAGCATTAGTATCAAACGATTTGCCTCTTTAAACTTCCCTTTGTCTATGATATTAAGAGCACCATTGATGAACTCAAACCCATACAATTTCAATTTAGTAGATGTATATTTTCCCACCTTCAAACCTATTAGAGTAGTATTTTGATTTGCAAAGTCCTTAATTTTTTATAAGTTTATTCTAATTGTCTTGTTAGAGCTCTACACAAATTGTTGATGAAAACCAGACCTAGTAGATACATGTCCATTTGGACTAATCATATTAATCAAAGTTAGTTAATCACAAATGATGTCGATGCTAAATGCAAAGGATAGATGTGTATATTCTCTTCAAATCCCCGAGTAGTCAAATTTGGTGATTTTATGGTAAAGAGCAAAGAAGTGATCAATAAATACAATGTGGTTGTTGTGTATTCTTGTGAAGCTATCAAGGTACAATCATAGAATATTTTCATTTTTGGAGTGCATGATTTCATACCATAACAACCAACAAGTTCCTAGAGTTTGGAAACTATTCATTCTAACATCCCAAAAATCAAGGTAAAAATTTTCATTTTTGAAACCAATCTAAAACCATAAGTGTTTACAAAAGAAGTTTCCAAAAATCATTATCATGAATCAGGGTATCCCGAGTAAAGTTATGTTTGAGTAAGATGGCTTCATTCCTTCGTGGTTACACGTAAAATTAGCAACTTTACGTGTTCAGATGGTTCCAAGATTTCAGATCTGCGAGTTAGGAACCATAGAGCGGATTCAAATGTAGTTGTATGGAATCTGCTAGACAGAATTCAGCGAGTAGTTCCTCAGACTCGGCGAGTCCGGTCAACTGGAGGTTGACTTTGACCAGGGGTAAAATGGTCATTTTACCCTCAGTACAGTTATCAGTAATTGATTGAGCGTATTTATGGAAATTGTAGTTGGGGAGATAGCAGAGCAGCAGTAGTCGGTTCCCAGAGCAGTTTATTTAGCAGCCAATGTACGAGGTGAGTTTTCCTTTCCAGTAGGAACGGGTCTAAGGCCACAATGCCGGCCTGTTTAGCTAGCAGTAGTTTCCGGACTTCGGTCCGATGCAGTAGTTAGTATGTTTGATGCCTTCGTGGCTCAGGTAGGATTTATGTGTTATGTGTTCCGGGCTACGGCCCGATGCAGTATGCAGTTTAAGTGTTCACGCTAGTTGATATGTTTATGCTATGCTATGCTCAGTCAGTTCCGGACTTTGGTTCGATACAGTTAGTTCCAGACTTCGGTCTGATGCAGGGGACAAGGTCCTAGTCAGTTCTGGACTTTGGTCCGATGCATTTAGTTCCGGACTTCAGTCCAATGCAGGGGACAAGGTCCTAGTCAGTTTCGGACTTCGGTCCGATGCAGTTTCCGGACTTCGGTCTGATGCAGTGGGCAAGGCCCAACATGTGTTTATATGTTATTGTATGGTATGTGGTAGTTTGGGGGAGCTCACTAAGCTTTGTGCTTACAGTTTCAGTTTTGGTTTCAGGTACTTCCTAAAATAAAGAGAAGAGCTCGGGTTGATGGCATCGCACACACCACAACTTCAGTTTATCCTGGGAATTGTTTTAGCTTGTCATAGATATGATTTGATACAGTCTTGATATAGTTTTCTTGTAATACTTTGCTATGGTTTTGAGATATTGACGTACGAGTTTTATTTGATGAAATTGACATGATGTATTTAGTAATTATTAAACAAAAATTTTTGGGTCGTGTTTTGGGTCGTTACACCAAGAGTGTGTTCAAATCCCTCAAACCAAGGCTCTTATACCAACTTGTAACAACCCAAAATTTCAAAAGAAAATTTTCATTTTTTAATTAATAAAACACATTTCCATAAATCATGAAATCCCAACATAATTGTTTTCAAATCCACAATCATTACATCTTTATTGAAAACTATCAGAGTATCCCACAAAATATCAATGAGAGAGTGTATGTCGCACCATTACGCCTTGCCCTTTCCCTTGGGCTCAGAAGTACTTGAAACAAATCCACAAACTGTAAGCTAATGCTTAGTAAGTCCCCCAGAGCAAACCCCACACACAATCCACAACCCACATATCATATTAGCTGTGAAAGCTATCTCTACCACATAACATATCATATTAGCCATAAAGCTATCTCTACCATATAACATATCATACTAGCCATAAAGCTATCTTTACCACGTAACGTTAGTTATAAAACCTATCTTTACCAGATATCCCTCTATAAGGATGCCATGGACTCCCCCACATGGTCTTATACCTAAGCGCCATGGGCTCCCCCCATGGTCTTTCCCTGTCGGACAACCATGGGCTCCCCCACATGGTCTTACATCCAAGTGTCATGGGTTCCCCCATGGTCTTTCATGAAAAAAATCACATAGTCACTAACATACAGCTTAACACAAACCTAACTATCATACCACATATCTATACTACAACTATTGTACCACATATCATAAAATGGGCCGACCTTGTTGCCTTAGACTCATTGGTATGGTGAGAAGAGTCACCTCTCTCGAATGCTGAACTGACAATGCTAGAACTAAATATGTCACACGTGTTGCTCCAACTCAAATGCATGTAAGCATCATAAGATAGACTTTTCATTAACACAAAATTACTCCCAAACTCAACCATGGTCAACCTTGGTCAAAACTAAGGTCATCAGTCCAAGTCAACGGTCTATGTTGACTCCAACTCGTCGAGTGCATCTAGTGACTCTTCGAGTTCCTTCCATGTTCAGAAGACCTGATCAAACCCTAGCCAACTCGCTGAGTTGCTTCATCAACTCGCTGAGTTCACATGATATATAGAAAAAATGGGGAAACCCAACCCACCTCGTTGCGTTGCTTGGGGAACTCGCCGAGTCCCCCTTCCTGTTTGCTTGTTGTAATTATACACCGAATACAGGGATTCTAGGGCTTAGATCTGAAGCCCTAATGTGCCTAGAAGCATGAAGTTTCCAAGTTTATCTTCTGTAACCATTTCAAATGCTCTAAGGTCCTTAGTAAAGGTTGGAAATCTCCAAAGCTTTGCCATATGGTCCAAAACCTAGGGATCTGAAATCCCTCCTTTCTAGAAAGGTTTCTAGTCCTCAAAACGCTCCAAAGTTGGAGGCTTTATGGACATGTATGTCCAATGCATGCCCCTACATCAAAATGGCCAAAAAGAAGGAATTATGCCCTAAAACCCTTCCATAGTGTCCTTACTCGACCAAAGGCCAGATCTAGCCCACCTTGGGACCATTTTTCCCTGGAGATTCATAAAGTTGCAAACTTTCTGAACCTCATGCATGCAATCAACAAAAAGGGTAGAAAATGAAGAGTATTCTCAAGATCTAGCCATAATCTGTGATAAAACCGAGTCTTGAAGACTTACAACAGTCCACAAGTAGGTCAAGCTCAAGGATGGGTGCTTGGTTTGCTAGATCTTCACACTATCTCCTTCTTCTTAAGCTTCAAAACCACACCAGCTCACAAAATGGAAGAGAATGGGAATAGGGTTAGCACAGGTGTTCTTAGGGTTTAGAGGCTGATGGGAGGTCAGCCTCAAGGCCCTTAAGGAGATTATATTGGGGGAAAACCATAAAATTAGGGTTTTATCATGACAACGCCTACTCGCCGAGTCGTCCTTCCGAGTCGTCGAGTAGAGTGTAGATC